ACAGTGCATTGATCATATCAGAACCCAAAGAGTCAACAATATTGGTCATGAATGCACATTCGACATTTTCAGAGTATGACAGCGAATGATCCAGAATTTTATTTTGCAATACAAGTAGACAGTAGTGGACAAATGAGGAGTGTATTCTGGGCCGACGGAAGATCAAGAGCATCTTATTTGCAATTTAGTGATGTTATTGTGTTTGATGTGACATACAGAACTAATAAGTTCGGTCTTCCATTTGCTCCATTTACTGGTGTAAATCACCATAGGCAGTCCACTTTACTTGGTTGTGCATTATTAGCCGATGAACAGGAAGATACCTTTGTTTGGTTATTTGAAGAATGGCTGAAATGCATGCACGACATTGAACCAGGTGCTATTATAACAGATCAGGATAGAGCAATGTGTAATGCTATTCACTCAGTGTTTCCAACAACATGACACCGTTATTGCTATTGGCACATGCAAAAGCATATTATTGATCATTTGCCTACTTTGGTATCTCGTTATGGTGAACAGTTTCAAAGGTATTGGGGCTTGTGGTGCAATAGTTCTTCAATTGAACAATGTGAAGGATATTGGGTTGAGATGAAAGAGAAGTTTGATATAAATGAAGAAGGGGAGGGATGGTTGCAAACAGTTTACAAATGCAGAGAACACTGGGTGTCGTGTTATCTGAAGGACACTTTTTTTGCTGGAATGAGATCAAGCCAAAGGAGTGAAAGTATTAATGCATTTTTTGATGGGTATGTTAACTCACAGACTCAGTTACACGAGTTTGTGACACAATATGAAAAAGCAGTAACTCATCGTCGCTTAAGTGAAGCCCATGAAGATTTTAAGAGTCTGAACACAAAGCCGGTTATGCTCCTTGGACATCCAATTGAGATCCAAGCTGGAGAAATGTATACACGCAATATGTTTGATGTGTTCCATACTGAATTCAAAGGATTTGGTACAGAGTTCTGTGAAGAATTGAGAAAAGATGGGGACATTGTTGAATACAAGGTCTGTAAGTTTACAGATAGAGGAAAATGGGAGGTGGTTACTTATGAACAATCCAGTCAGATCCAGTTCTGTTGCACTTGTGCTTTGTTTGAAACTAATGGTGTTGTATGTAGACATATATTATCGCTAATGATGGCTAGGCAAATGGATTCATTACCCGACCACTACATCCTACACCGTTGGACCATACATGCAAGGCATCGTAACATTGGGGTTGGCAATATTGTATTTGGAAGAAACATCACCAGCTGTGAAGAGAAGATTAATTTATTGAAATCTTGGGCTTTAAGAGCAAAATTCAATAATGTGCTCGAGCTTGCATTTGATTCAGAAGAGAAGCTGCAACAACTTGATGATGTGCTAACAAATTTCATGGAATCACTTGAAGAAGAAGTTGGAGAAACTCAAGATCAAATTATGGATATTCCTCAACCTTCCGCACTCATTTCACATACAATAGAGAACATTCCTCAGATAACAGTTCGTGATCCTGATAGACCTGCAAGGACTAAAGGTCGTCCACACAATGCTACTAGAATCCAGTCAGGTTTAGAACAGGCACAAGAAAAGAAAGAAAGGAAGAAACGCATATGTAGCAGATGTGGTGAACTCGGGCATTATAGAACTAGTTGTAAAGTTAACTTGCAAAGGTACCATTTTCGTTTATATTCAGTTTTAACCCTATATAAGTTTATGAAACTTGATAGCACAAAGTCATATCTCATGATTAATTTGTCATATAATTTGCAGGTAAACATATGCACGGGTGGTGGATGTATTGGTTTGTTCAAAAAGTCATTATCTCATGATTAATGTACGTATGATCTTATGCATTTTTGTGTATCAATCTTTAACAGTGCTTTATTTACTTTGTTTTTAACTTTTAACAAACAATTTATTTGCTTGTACATGTTGCTCAGGTTCATCCAAAACTGTTGCTGATTGTCTTGTAGCTGCTGATGTATTACTACATTTTATGTATTAAGACTGATTGTGTTAAGATTGATTGTGCCTTATAGCTGCTGATGTGTTAAGACTAATGTATTAAGACCGAGTATGTGTGTGTGTTATTGGTTATTTGATATGGATTGTTGTCTTGTAGCTGCTGATGTATGTGAATTGTATTGTGAAGTTTGTAAGTTTTAATTCTATGGCTTCTTGTAAGAAACATCACCGTTGGACCATACATGCAAGCCAAATTTAGATGCTTACTTCTGTTTTGCTATTATCCACGTTTGATTACTACTGCAGCTTGATTGATCCTCATTTTACGAATGGGTCAGTGTACAAAATGTGCGCCCGTGATTTTAGTGGCAGTGTTCTCTTGAACCCAACTAATTCGTGAGCAAACCAAATTTTTATGTGCTTACCTCTATTTAGCAATTATATATCTACGACGTCTGCTTGCTACTGCAGGTTGATTGATTCTCATTTCATGATTTTATTTGTTCCTGCAGAGAGAATCCTTTCTGTAGCAAGGAATGCATATACCAGTCTGCCCTAAATGACAAGAACCTGGACGAGTGTACTCTTGGGGTATTGAAGCCCTCAGATCGTGACAAGGTTCCCTGTGACAAGACTCTCTGTTCCGACCCCATGGCTTCAGCTGGTATAGCGTTGCAGCTTAACATAGCTTCTCATAATAATTGCCTCAGTGACATATGACTATAAACGAGGCTGGATTCAGTCGGCCAGAAGCCTGGAATTGAACTCACAAATCGAACCATTCACAAATCGAACCATTAAGAGAGTGATTGAAGATTAGAGATAGAATCTGGAATTGAACAAGCAAAGCTTTCTAGAACTCCAGCAGAGCCTAGGTGAACAAGCAAAGCTTTCTATCAAACATGACATAAGTTCTTATGCATCACTAATATAGAAAGAAGGCATAGCACATCCATAGCAGGGTTAGATAGAAGCCAAAGTAATAAAACATCCCACAAGATACATAAGTTCTCACAATCTCACAATCACAAGATACATAAGTTTCTATCAAACATGACATAAGTTCCCACAATCACATAAGTTCACAATCTCACAATCACAAGATACATAAGTTTCTATCAAACATGACATAAGTTCCCACAATCACATAAGTTCTCACAAGATACATAAGTTCTCACAATTTCACAATCACATAAGATACTCGATACATAAGTTCTCACAATCACATATTTTTTGCAAGAGAGAAAAAAATAAATACGACAACGATACATATTACAAACAATAACATTGTAAACACTGAACCTAATGCAAAAGCATAGGTGGGGGAAATAGTAGTTCTTGAGCTCGATGCAGAATCAGGTGTCGGGACATAAAAAGGTGTTTGGACATGCCCTGTACTGGATGCTGAATCACAAGCGATGCCGTGCTTATCCCATTCAACCAAAGCCTCTTCATACGTTGCATACCCTTTATATACGGCATTTGGGAATTTATCAACTTGCATTTTACAGTCCTCCCAATTATTATAAATTCCACACCGTCGACCTCTCTTCACAATGTAAAAACTCTTTCTTGCCATGGACCACCTAAAAAATTATGGTTTGAAGCAAAATCACAGTAAAAACTCTCTTAATTTCTTGTAACATGTTTTAATTAAACCTGACATGTTTTAATTAAACCTGACTTCATATCAGCTACGCTTATGGAACATTCAAAAGTTCCTTGAATAAGAAGTTTGTAACATGTTTTATTTCTCTATAATGCCAACTTTTGTTCTCTGTAATGCAATTAACCATCTCATGTCCGTCTCACTGTCTAGATCCAGTTCTATATTTTACCAAAATTACCATCGAGATTATATAAACATGCTGTTTTTAAGAGTGTCGTTATTTGCAAAGTATTTCAAAATTAAACCCTAGAACAAATATTTCAAAATTTAACAGTAAATGATGTTAGAATTTACAGAACTTAGAATTTACAGAACATTACAGTAAGAAGAAAGGAGGCGGTCGAGGAGGCGGTCGAGGAGGCGGTCGAGAGAGGAGAATTTGAAATTTTACCTGTCAAGAGAGATCGAAAGGGGGAGTCGGGGTTGGCCTCACGAGATGAAACGTGCGGCGGCGGTCGCCGATTTCTCAGTCCGAGCGGCGGCGGTGGGTTGGCCTGAGCGATGGCCTGAGCGAAATCGATGAAGTCTGGGGAGCTGGGTGGATTTGGGGTCGATTTCGAAGGGGGGCGGGGGTGAGCGATGGCCTGCCAGCGAAATCGATGAAGTCTGGGGAGCTGGGTGGATTTGGGGTCGATTTCGAAGGGGGGCGGGGGTGAGCGATGGCCTGCCAGCGAAATCGATGAAGTCTGGGGAGCTGGGTGGATTTGGGGTCGATTTCGAAGGGGGGGCGGGGGTGAGCGATGGCCTGCCAGCGAAATCGAAGGAGCTCAGCGGCGGTGCTCGCGTCGGGAGAAGGAACTGGGGAGAGAGAGGAGCTCTTCAGAACGTCGATTTGAGATCTGGGAGAGAGGTTCTGGAGAGAGAGATTTGGGGAAAGAAAAGTGATATGGTCACGAGATCTTCTTGGAACTGGCCGCAGAGAAAAGTGAAGTTGGGTGTTTTTACAGCTGTAATCGATGGGTTTTTTTTCAAATCACACCTTGCAGCGACAATATCCCCATACGCTGGCAGCTCATAGGCCATCTTTTCTCATATATATATATATATATATAGATATATATATATATATATATATAATATATATATATATATATATATATATATATATATTATATATATATATATTATATATGAGGAATATTGGGTTGGCTTGGTACCCAAGCATAAAATTTGCTGCTTGGTATAGTGAGATTGGCGATTATCCTCCAGCATCATTCAAAAATGGGGAGACCACATTCAATGGGTTGAATGTGGTCTCCCAATTGAATGAGTGGATGGGAATGAGACACCTCACTACCAGCATTAAAAATTTGTGCTTGGTACCAATGATACCAATTTTCTCATTATATTATATATATATATATATATAATATATAATATATATATAGAGAGAGAGAGAGAGATGAGAGGAGAGAGAGAAGAGCAGAGAGAGAAGAAATGAGTATGCTTGGTACGCAGGCATAATTTTGTGTTTGATAGTGATATGTCTCATTTCCATCAAACTCATTCAATTGGGGGGACACACTTCAACCCATGTGATGTAGTCTCTCCATTTGAATGAGTGTAAGATAATATGCCACCCTCACTATCAAGCACAATTTGTGCTTGTACCAAAGCAATCCATAGTGGAGGATAATATGCACCTCACTCCAAGCACAAATTTTGTGGCTTGGTACCAAGCATATCCATATTCCCCTCTCTCTCTCTCTCTATATATATATATATATATATATATATATATATATATATTATATATATATATATATATATATATATATATATATATAGGAATATGGGTATGCTGGTACAAACACAAAAAATTATGCTTGGTAGTGATGTGTCAAATCCTCTCCACTCATTCAAATATGGGAACAATTCACATGGGTAGTGAGTGGATGGGATGTGGACACATCACTACCAAGTACAACTTTTTGTGCTTGGTTACCAAACATACCATATTTCTCATATATATATATAGAGGAATATGGGTTAACTTGGGCCAAGGTCCTTGGTAGTGATGTGGACACATCTTATCCATAACATCACACCTTGGAGTTGGTGGGCTCCATCTTCTAGGTGTGATGTGATGGACAAGATGTGTCCCAATCACTACCAAGGATCCTTGGTACCAAGTATACCCATTTTTCTCATATATATATATATATATATATATATATATATATTATATATATATATATATATATATATATATATATATATATATATATATATATATATATTAACACACACACATTATTTGGTGTTTGGTGTTCCCACACAGCACCTGCTCTCTCCCTCTCTACGTCTCAACCACCCAACAAAAATCAACTCTGGTTTCCCACACTCTCTCTTTCTTGGACCGGCCTCCTCCATTTCCCGCCGCTCTTTCTCCAACTATCTCTTTCATCATCTTCATCACCGTCATCATCTCTCTCTAATTCCTAACCCTAATTAGCCCCCCTCTTATTCATCAGTTCTCTCATCCTCGCATGAGAAAACCCTGATTCTATTACGCAAGATTGAATTTTGATGTAAGATACAGCTTCCTTCAGGTACCAACTTCAAACCCTTTTCCCCTTTCCTCAGGCTATTTCTTCTCTCTATGTAAAGTTTCGATCTTTACTCTTTTTTTTTATTGGTTCACTTTACTCTTTCGATTAACACAACCCAAAGTTTGCTCATAACTTATTCTTAAACCGACGTATCCATAATGGATTACTTTTGAACTCAGCCCCTGTTGCTATTTTTGGTGTGCTGGTAGCTATATCTGAGTGTAAGATGCTATATTTGGGTTTAAAAAGAATTCAGTATGAAATTTTTGGTTTGAAGAATGATTTTGGAAGTGGATTGAACTTTGGGCTTATAAACAAAAAACCCTAAATTCGGAGGGGGATCTGTTCTATTGATGAAAAAGTACTTTTAAGTCATATTATTGTTGTTTGCGTTGTACTTTGTTGGTAGGTTCTTATTATTATTGCTGTCACTGTGTTCCTTTTTTGTTTAGGTTTGTTATATTAGGTCTGACTATTTGGGCTTTACTGTTTGTTGTTTTAAAGGTTGTTACCGTGAAGAAGTTGATCTGTTAATTTCGTGGTTTTTTTAGAGTAATAATTTTGTGAAAATTTGATATGTGCTATCTGTTCATATGGAATTTCCGCACTTTCATCTTTGTTTGAGATTAAAGATAGGTTCTGATGAATGAAAAATGACGTCCTGATTCTCCTAGTGTGTTCTCCTTGATTGGGCTTTGGTACTGTTACTAATGCGTAGCTGTTATTGATTTTGTTGAAATATCTATTTGTTCATGTAGAAATTTCTGCTGTGTTTGATTAATTGATCATTATTTTATTTTATTTTTGAAATTCTGTACGCAGATTAAAAACCAGCCTCTTATTGATGGGGAGTGATGCTTCTGAAGCTATACAAATACCACAAAATTCTTCCTGCGTAAAGGTGGAAAAATTCACTCTGATACCGATATATTTCGGGGTTATTATTTATAGACAATTAGTTTGAAATGCATCTGTGGTTCAAGTTACTGAATGTTAGAACATCCTAGATTGATCTATACTGAGGTTTTCTTTTGTTAAATATTTTCTCTTTTCCTGAGTCTGAGTGTCACTGAAGATTGCTGAGAAGGATTCTGAGTTTGTTGGGGATTATGAAAATTCTTCTGATACATAAAACGTTTTTAAAGAAGCTTGTTGGAGATTTTGTTGTTTAGGATAGCTAATAACAAAAATATTGTCGATGTTATGATGATATCAAACGTCTCTTTCTCCAAAGCAGATGACCGCCTCTTAAGGTCCTTTTGAATGCTTTTAAATTGTAACATTAGTCACTACCCTCTCAAAACTCATATATGAGAGATCTTC